CCCCCCCCCCCCCCCCCCCGAGTCCTTGATCTGTGGAGTAAGAGGCACCATAACAGGAAAGGTCAAGCAGAACCCATCCCGGACATCAAAAGTATGATTCCGAGGGAGTGGTGCGGATTAGTGCCACCCTTAAGGGTCCAAATGACACAGGGATGACTGCCCCTATCACGGTCTGTGTAATTCACCAGTCTGGGCCCTAAAGAAATCAACAGATCCTGGCAGACGACTATAGACCACAACAAGTTCAACCAAGTAGCTCCGACTGCACCTGCCATGCCAGGTATTATAGCGCAGTTTCGGCAGACGAACGTGATCTCAGGTACATGCGGCAACTGGCCTGCTGAATGTATTCTTTTCTATCCCAACAGAATGAGGACCAGCTCTGATGAGAAGCAGTTCATGTTCACATGGAATAGACAACATTAACGGTTTTGCCACCAGCTTGTGTGAATTCTACTCACTGTCATAACACAGCCCAAGGTGCTCCTGACCTTCTAGAATACTGCGGCATGGTAAACTGCTCCGTTGTATCTCTGACATTATGTCGATTGAGAGAAAAGTCTTGGTAAACTGTACATGCTCCAAAGGGTGGGAGAGAAACCCTACCAAGATTCAGGGTCTCCCAGAGCCACATCATTTTTAGGAGTCAGTGGTTCTGAGACAGCCATGCAAAGTAAAACACAAAACTACTTCCTCTTCCCCTCCCACGGTGAAGAAGGAACCAGAATACCAGGTGAGCCTCTCTGGGTTCAGCAGGCAGTGCCATCCTCAGAAAGGAATATTACTACAGCCCATTTACAAAATGGCACAAAAGGCCACCAACTATGAGAGCGACTCAAGTGAGAAAGGCCTCAGCAGTTTCAAACCACGGCTCAAGTTGCCCTGCAATGGGGGCCATGTGATTCAGCAAATCCCAGACTGCTGGTGGGAAAAGATTCTGAGAGGGGCGTGCAGACACACTAGGAGAATCACCATGCTGGTCTCTGAGGTTCTGAAGCCAAGCCGTGCTGTCTATCCTGAAGAATTATGTGCCTTTGAAAAGCAATTTTGGGTGTGCTGCTGGGCCCTGGCAGACATGAAAGGCATGGCGGAGGGACAGCAAACAGACGTGGGGCTGGAAATGCCCGATGAGCTGGGTCCTGCCAGTCCCCTCTGGGCACAGGTTTGGGTGGGGCCACCATGAGAAGGAGGGTGCCTATAACCAGAACCAGGCACGCACAGACCAGAGGGCATGAACAAACTGGGCACCCACCACGGTCATCAGCACACTCCCTCAGCTGATGACGCAAGACAGGGGGATGAAAGCAGAAGGAAAAGTCCAGGCTCAGTTTGCAAATGGGTCAGCCAGAAAGGAGATACAGGGACTTCCCTGGTGGCCCTGGGGTGAGGACTCCAAGCTCCCAAAGCAGGGGGCCTGGGTTCGATCCCTGGTCAGGGAATTAGACCCTGCATGCCACAACTAAGGTTCCCACATGCCACAACTAAGGGTCCTGCATGTTATAACTAAGACCCGGTACAGCTGAATAAATAAATAAGTGTTCTTTAAAAAAAAAAAGAAAGAAAGAGAGGAGGTGCAAGCCAAAAACAGACTGTGTTGCGGCCTTCTTCATGGATGACTCTGAAGACAGGGACGAGGGAGAACCACCTAGCAGGCAGGGTTTCAGGTGACATACCTGGTCATCTACTTTGTGGAAAGAGAAGTAGCCTGAGGTTAGAATAAAGATGGACTTGTGGCAGAAAGCAAGTGGCTGGCCAGCTGGTCAGAGGCCTGGAAGGAAAAAACCTGGGAAGATCAGGGATAAGACAGTCTTAGGGTGTCCCTGGGTCAGAAGGCATCTGCCATGGAAGACGTTCTAAACCATCGAGCTGACAAAATGCCCTGGCCAGGTGCTGCCAGCCAGCCTCGGTCAGCAGTCAGTCTCCCAGAGCCGACAGGACGGGCACATGAATGAAGTGGACAGAGGAGCAGACGGAGCTCAACAGCATCCAAGATTAAGCTGCTAAGCTGACTGCCATGCTGAATACCCAGCCAGCCACCTACAATGACCACTGCTGGGACCCCAATGTGTCAACTGGCCCCTTGACAGAATGTGGACCACATAGGCCCCATCCATGGTGAAAGGGCCACGCGTACTCTGAGGGTGGGTTTGCCTGCCTCAGCCAGCACCACTGCCCACCCGAACCTCCCTTCACGGAGGGCCCTGCTGCTCAGCTGTGCCAAAAGCAGTCGGCACACAGCCTGCAGCTGTCAGCTCCTTCCAGGTCACCCTCCACTACAAGAACCCCTCCGCCAAGGGCACGCCCTTCCTCCGGCGGCTTGCTCGGGACAGATGGAGATGCGCGTATGAAAACCATCCCGGCCCCACGTGAGACAATTTCGACAAGCCCAGCTCTAGAGGTCCACCCCACCTGGACTTCCCCCTCCGCTCAGTCCTGAGCCCACACTCCTCTTGCCTGTGAAATGTCTCCACAGCAGCCCCGCCTGCAGAGACCCCGGCCTGAGGCATGCACACGGACACTCACAGGGCGCAGGCCTTTTCCCACACAGCCTCACTATACTTTGTTGTTGTTGCTTAGTCCAAGTGGTGTCCAACTCTTTGTGACCCCATGGGCTGTAGCCTGCCAGGCTCCTCTGTCCATAGGATTTCCCAGGCAAGAACACTGGAGCGGGTTGCCATTTCCTTCTCCAGGGGATCTTCCCAACCTAGGGATCAAACCGGCATCTCCTGTGTCTTCTGCAACGGCACCTCCTTCTTCTTCTTTACCACTAAATCACCAGGGAAGCCCTAAACACAGTGTGCTGAATCATAAAGTGACAATCCTGGGATTAATGAGAATACCTTGCAGAAGTAAAACATAACGGGGAAAAAAATGAAGGAAAATAATTGATCGGGAGTAGTTACATACAACTCTTCGATGTAAAAGTGTTCAACTCATCATGCAAACACCTTTGGAGTGTTCCTGACGACCCAGGGGCTAGGGTGTGACACAGGTCAAACAAGCCCATGTGACACTCACAGCTGAGTGGGGACAACAAAGACTAACAGGCAACGGCGTACACTCACATCCCCAAGGAAAGAGGACATGTGCCTTACAATGAGAGCATTTCTCCAGGGAGATTCACCACCGTTTACAACAAAAACACGAAAAACAATTACAATTATGGACCATTTTAGGATACTGAAATTGATTTTTAAAAAAAAAAGGGCAACTCAAATTCACTTTGCCTACTTTAAATAATGAACCTCCCAAAGTGTCCTTGATAACATTCCCATTCCACCCCCAAAACCCAAGTATATCTCTTCTCGTATCAGGGAACCTGAGAAGACTATTTCCAGGGTATTATTTCATTTATGGGGAGAAGAATAGCAGCAGCATCTGTCTACTTTTGGCTGCTCAGCGCTGACAAATATAATAACCCAAACCAGTTACCTCTTCTCCGGGATAAATGCTGTGCCTGATGCCCGTGCGTCTCGCTTTTGCGCTGCATTTGCAGAGTGGGCCATCATTCATCTGTCAGAAACAGAATGTAATTCGTTTTTATTGGGGGGAAAATCCACTCCATGCACGACAATGCCGCGGAAACTGTGTGAGTTTTAATGTCATGAGTACTGAAGCTCTGAAAGGGCTGTCAAGGTTTGAAGATTAAACGGATGTTCCAAAACCAATAAAGCTGCAAACTGTCTATATTGTCTGATAAAGGGAAACGCTATGACAACGCTAGATTCCCGACTTATTTGTGCAGCCGAGCAGAAAATATCAATGTCAGTGCCCTGTTTGCCCCCATCTTCTCCTACTGCTTTCCAGTATGTTCCTGCTATTTCTTATTTCAGGAAAAATAACTCTTTCACAAGAGAAAAGCCTAATTTATATTCTGAAGGAACATGTAGAATGCTTTGAAGGTGACCTGCAGATTAAATGTTTTCAAAGAGACCAAAAGGTATCTCAAGCAGAGGAAGAAAATGACTCCTAGAACCAGAACTTCTAGCACTAATCAGGTGATTCTGTGTCTGTTTTTTCACCTGAATTCATTTTCGAGCCATGAACTCCACTCACATGATTCAGTAAGTGAATAATCCTGGGTGCCTCTTGGATAGAAAGCTGCTGGTTAAGCACTACAATGGGGAAGGTGGGTAATACCTAGCTCAGGGTCCACATGATCAAGGAATCCTTATTCTAATTTTGATGTATGTACTAATTAAGCCAGCACTAGGAATAACACACATATGATATGCTTAGTAATTTCAAAAAAAGGAAAAAACAGGCTTCAAGAAGCCAAAATGTGAAAAGAAGATGGTTATTCTACATGAGGAACCAGGACAAGAGAAAAAAGAGAAAGAAGGAATCCAACATCATGCTCCAAGAACGTGAAAGTGGAAAACAAAGTGTTAGTCGCTCAGTCAAGTCTGACTCTCTGCGACCCCATGGACTGTAGCCCAGCAGGCTCCTCTGTCCATGGAATTCTCCAGGTAGGAATACTGGAGTGGGTGGTCATTCCCTTCTCCAGGGGATCTTCGCCACCCAGGGATTAAACCTGTCTCTCATGTTGCAGGCAGATTCTTTACTCTCTGAACCCAGGAACATGAGACACATCTAAATGGAATGGATCACATAAGTGAGTGAGAAGACCAAAAAGGCAGAACTGAGATCAAAACCTTAAAGGGCCTTAAAAGCCAGTTTGTGAGTTTTTTCAATATAAACAGTTAATATGGAATCAAAAAGGAGATCAGAGCATCAGTCTGAAGAATGGAGAAGTGGAATTCCATTTCTCACTTTTTTGGTATTAATTAAAATATAGATATTTATATATATGATATATTATGAGGCATATATATTCTATATACATACACATATTTCTTTAAAGTTCTATGGATTTATAACTCATTTTGTCAAAAATATCTCAATAAAACTTTGAAAAGAAATATTAAAAAAACTATAAGTCTCTTTATCCCTTTGAGAAATCTAAAGCTCTAGGTGGTACAAGAGAGGAATAATATGGCTACCTAAAAAAAAAAAAAAAAAATCACATTAAGATATTATCCAAAATAACAGCTGGCAAACAGAGATGTGATTGAATTCCCACCAAAGTCACAACACATTCCCAATGCTGGGTACAACTTGTGATGAAAAATATGGAAAAATCATTTTGTGCTCACTTATTTCCAGGGAAGCAAATAGACGTCCTACATGCCTGTCTTTTACCGGGGTCTGGTCTCCGATACAGATCGGCCCTTTGTAAGGCTCAACTATACAGAGGATACAAAACCAAATACAGTCAACACAACACTAAGACTATTTGTTTCTTATTAAGGACACCAGTCCATTAAAAGACCCCACACCAGGTAAGGGGAGTGATTAATGGAGAAAGGATTGTTCTCGGGGGACATACAAATGTTCTAAAATTAAATTGTGATGACTGTACAATTCTGTGAATATACAAAAAAAAAACTGAACTGTACACCTTAATTGTGTAAATTGTATGGTATGTGAATTATAACTTGCTAGAGCTGTTTAAGTAAACTCCGGGAGTTGGTGATGGACAGGGAGGCCTAGCATGCTGCGATTCACGGGGTCGCAAAGAGTCGGACACGACTGAGCGACTGAACTGAACTGAGAGCTGTTTAAAGAGATCCTATACATGATTAATATACCAAAGTGAAGATTCCAAAATGTATTGACAATTTGCAAACATTTCTGCTCAATTCTCAGAGAGCAAAAAGGACCACAAAGTACATTTCTGTCAGGCATTCTAACTATATTAATTCTATATAAAAAAAAAATTAGAGAGCTATAATCTAGTATGAACCACGAGAACAATATCAAAATAATGTAGAATGGTATGAATTTATTTACAAAATCTAAATTTTAAATGATCTTTTTCTAGGAATATGTTTTATTATGCTTGATAAGTTGACATGTATTAAAGATACTATTTTTGTATGTATTATACATTTGTAAAAATACAACTCTTTTATAAAGATACTATTTTGCATTATGAATTGTATGTGTATGCTCAGTTGCTCAATAGTGTCTTACTCTTTGTGACCCCATGGACTAGAGCCCCCCAGGCTCCTCTGTCCATGGAATTTTCCAGGCAAGAATACTGGAGTGGGTTGCCACTTCCTACCCCAGTGGTATCCCTCCAACCGTGGGATTGAACTCGCGTCTCTTGCATTTCCTGCATTGGCAGGCAGATTCTTTACCACTGTTCCACCAGTATAACTTCATAATAAAACAGTAAGTGAAAATAAAAAATAATTATGTCCAACTATGATGTCACTGGCTTCCCAGGTAAAGAATCCGCCTGCCAATACAGGGACACAACAGATGCGGGTTCGATCCCTGGGTTGGGAAGATCCCCTGGAGGAGGGCATGACAACCCAGTCCGATATTCTTCCCTGGAGAATCCCATGGACAAAGGAGCCTGGTGAGAAAGAGTCAGACACGACTGAGAAACTGAGCATAAACACACACGATGTCATTAGCTCAAACACGCTTAATAACAAGGAGAAGTTACAAGAAATTGTGACTTCTGCCAACTGGCAAATACAAAGTCTTACAGGGCCTGGGACATTGTTTACTGTATGGCTGCAAGATAACTTCCAGGTGAACTGCTTTTAAAAAGAGCTACAAGTGCTCTCTCCCTCATCCTACCATTCGTCTCCTTCCGTTTACTGCAAGTTTAATGAGGCAGCACCATCATCCTGCTCCCTCACAGAGGATTTACAAACATCGTCAAATATGATTCAAGGAACACTTGCTCTGGTGCTTATGCTTTGGAGCTGAACACTGAAGCTGAAAAGAAATAAGCTGTGAAGGATGACGCCCAGCCCTGAGAGTAAAATTCAGTTTCAATACCAGCTACCATGCATCTTCTGAGCCAGCAGTCATAAATGTGATGTGTGGGTCTGCAACCTTCACAGCAAGAGCATAAAAGCCTGCGCACCTGGCCTGGGTCGTTGTACCAAAGTTCATCATGGAGCCGGTCAGGATGGGCCTTTTTACGTTTGATTTCTGCAATGACGTCGAAAACTTCAGAGTCTGAGCTGCTAGAGCAGGTGCTGTCCTCATCGGACTCGCATTCGGATTCACTGGAACTCTCTATGGAGGTGAGGGGAAAAAGATGCAGAGAAGCTGAAGCAGTCTGCAAGCTGGTTTTACGTGAAGATTTTACATGAAAATTTTATATGGAGATTTACATTTTACATGAGGGTTTTACATGAAGATTTACTTCCCAATGACCAAAACGTAAGCACGTACATTTAGAAACGTTAAGGACAGCTGTTTATCTTCCAGCAAATACTCCAGTGCCTACTCCACACTAGAACTCTGCTAAGCAACCCCATAAAATCTAATAGAGCCCATGATGCTAAGTCACAATCTAGAGGAGAAAACAAAGGTTCAATGATTTTTAAAGAAAGACTTGGTGAACAAGACCAGAGAAAATGAAAACCACCAGGGCTGTTTGAGGTTTCACCTCCTAAAAGGTGCAGTGAATCCACCCTGATCCAGAGAGGTCACTGGGGTTTCCTAGAAGGGGTGCACATGACCCAGGTACGGGGGTGGAGGCGGGGTTAAGCTGATGAGAAGGAAAGGAACACAGATGGAGCACTGCGGGCAAAAGCATGGAGCAAGACTACGGGTGGACTCTGGCTGGAGCAAAGGCCTCACAGGAAAAATTCCAGAAGTGAGGGGGTAAAAGGTCATGAATGCCAGGCCCTGAACACCAGACTGAATCAGACTCTAGATTTTTTTCTCTCAATAGTAACAATAAGAGACTTCAGTCCTTCAAAATGACTAGATAAAAACAGACCAAGAATTATTGTAATGAAACGAGCCAGTCACAAAAGACAAATATGGTGTGACTCTACTTCTATGAGATACCTAGAGTAGTCAGATTCATACAGACAGAAAATAGAAGGGTGGCTGCCAGAGGCAAAAGGAGACAGGAATGGGGAGTTAGTCTTTAATCTAGATAGCTTACAGTTTAGCAAGATGAAAAGAGTTCCAGAGGTTGTTTACACAATATGAATGCACGTAACGCATTACAGGGCCATACATTCAAAAATGGCTAAGTAGCGTATCTTATGTGTATTATGAACATGTTCTTTGTATTTTACTAAAATAAAAAATGAAAAAAAAAAAAGACTTGGACTGATCCTAGAAGAGATTAATGCAGTACAGCGTAGTAAGAAGGAACCGTTAATACTGTTGTATTTTCGAGTTTGCTACGTAAGATGGGTACTGTCATTCCTCTTTTAAGATGAGAAAATCGAGACACAGAGAAATTACATCACTTGCCCGAGATCACATTTCAAGTGGTGGAACAAGGATTCAAATCCAGGCCAGCTGGTTCTGTCATGCTTTTCCCCACCATGGACACTGCCTCTCAGCGAGGGAGAGGTAACAAAGGTGGGCAGACGAGAGCCAGGTAACAGGCAGGAAAAGGCGCACTGAACGTCTCCTCTGCGTCCAGCGTTATGTTAGGGGCTAAGGACACAAAGTGGTGACAAGCAGTGATCTCAGCATCTCCTTGGAGTCTCAGAATACGCATGTGAAAAGATGAAAGAAAGTGATGGAAACTTTGTGAATAAAGAGAGAGCTTCAAACAGAGCTGGACTCTGGCAGGAGTTTCCACACCCTGGCAGTGGAGATAGCCACAGGAGATGCCTGCCCGTCAGAGCAAGAGGCATGGGAACAGGTTCCTGTTTTTGACGGGAGGCTGGACTGTGGTCCCTTCTGCTTTTAAGACAGAAAGATTCTAGGGGGACACAGTGGCCAGCACGCCTTGCAAATGAGATCTCTTATGTATTCTACTGAATATAACTAAGGGAAAAGAAAATTGAAAAGAAGAAAGTTACATTGCTATGTATTTGCTGACTGGAACTAAGGAAAATAAAATGGACATTAGGAAATTTTACTATGGGACTCTCAAGGACACATTCCAAAAGTCTGGTATTAAACAATAAAAAAAAGGCACAAGATCTTGGTCTAGTAACATCAGACTCACCTAAATCTTCATCTAGCTTCGTCTTGGGAGGCTCCCATGGGGGTCGAGCAGCTTTGGCCTTCTCCTGCCTGCTCCCCAACTCTTCCTCAAATTTGTCATATAAGTCACGGAGCCTACTTGTTCCAACTACAGTAGAATCTCCCTTTGAAAAATAAAGGATCAATATTAGGAACTACGTTAATAATAGTCATACCGAAGAGACATAAGAACTCACCAATAACCAAAGATTTGTAACAGCAAGATATCATTTTTCAACCCTCAATTTAACAAACATTTTAAACACAAAATGCCCAGAGTGCTGGCAATGATGCTCTGAATTGCACATACATTTATGGCTGACACAGTCCTCAGGTAAATGTACTTTGCCAAACCTTAGAAACGTTAGAAATCTTCATCTATGCCCTTTTGATACAACAACCAGAAAATCATAAACCCCTCAGAATTCATGACACCTGACACCTTCCTAGAGAACATATACACCTCCCCTACTGAAATTCACTCATGGTGTATATGCTACATTAACCCAGTGACCCACAAACCACACAGGCACCCCATAAACACAGGGACATACACACACATACTCTCTACAAACACAGGGTTCTGCAATACATTCCTGGAGGAAGTTCCTCACTTTTCCTTACTGTCCTCCCAGGTTGAAAATCACTTTAAACATCCACCTGAAATGCACATTTGACATTTTCAAAAGGCACCTTTCCAACATAAAATGAATATTCCATCATAAAATCTGCAGTTATTCCCAAAAGAGGGTGCCTGCTTTCCTCAGCCCCACCTCATTACTGGTGATGCTGGGGAAGCTCTGACACTTAGGCCCTCTCTGCACCAGTGGTGCACAAACAGAAGCCAATGCTGGCCTTGTGGTTTATCAATCTTCCTTCTACACTGGAGTTTTAACACATCCACAAAAACAGGTGAGGAAAAGCAAAAGCTCTGCCTGTTTAAATGTTCTGAACCTCGGGGCCTTCAACTTTATTTCAAGAATAATGATACCCACGGGGAGCCATTCTCCCCTTCCTCCTTGCTAACAGAACTGTGATTCCCTTCAGGTTTGAGGCAGAGAACTTGGGATCTCAGATGCCAGTCCCCCTACGCCACAGATGTCTCTGTCCTAATCCCTGGAAAGTGAACACGCCACCTTTCAGTGCAGAAAGAACTCTGCAGATGCGATTAAGGCTACAGAATTTGAGGTGGGGTTATCTGGATGGACCCAGTTGAATACGAGCCTTTAAAAGTGGAGACGCTCTCGCAGCAGCAGTCAGAGGTGCAGCAGAAGAGGCAAGAGCTATTTAAATCACAAGAGGGGGAAAAAAAAAATCACAAGAGGGACTCAACCCACGCTGCTGGCTCTGAATATGAAGGAAGAGGTCCATGGACCAAGGAATGCACACGGGGTCTAGAACCTGGAAACAGCCCACACCTGCCAGACAGCAAGGAGACAAGGGCCTCCATCCCACAGCCATAAGGAACTGAACTCTGCCAACAACCTGAATGAGCAAGAAAACAGGTTATCTCCAGAAAGGAGAGCAGTCCTGCCAGTACCTCAATTTAGCCAGGGAAACCCGTTTGACTTCTGACCTACAGAACTGTGAGCTAATAAATGTGTCGTATTTTAAGCCATGAATGAAGTCTGTGGAGATGGGTTATGGCAGAGATGGAAAATTAATCCATTAAACATGATTCGGGGCAAAGGGATGGAAAAAGAGATCCCCGGGCACCCTGGGCTCCACCCAGTACTGCCCTCTGCATCTGTGTCTGGGCAGAGATGTGTACAGACACGATGCTTGGGGCTCCCGTGGGCATCCTACAACCATGGTGGGCCCTCGGGAAGACAGCGATGCCCACCTACAGTCCTGCCATCACTAAGGCACTAAATACACACCAGCCACCACCTCCCTCCAGATGGCTTGTCAAGGAAAACAAACCAAGCAAGCTTAAACCACGATCAGTTAAGTATTCTCATTTACAACAACATTCTGAAGTAACAGATGCCTTCTTTCCAGGGATGTTTTAAGGATTCAGGGAGGTAATCTGAGACGCGCGGAGCAGTTTCACAAACAGGGCTCCATGTATGAGCTTCTCGTTGCCTGTGTCACCTGAACTATAACTTAAAACCCTGCTCTTCTTTATCAAGTAAAATATCATGCCACCAAGAGAGACCTCTACAACCTTTTCGCCAGAGGCGACAGTCTCCTGTCAAGCTCACCATAGGTAAGGGCCAAGTCCAAGTCGAAGCTGTTTTTACAAAATTCCGAACAACAGAATGCTCTCTTCTCTACCCCACCCACTAAATCTAACATCTCCAGGCTCTCCTGTCCTAAATCTGTAGGTATCCCTTCGTTCACTCATTCATTTCATCAGTGAACATGACTGTGTGTCCATCCTATGGCAAACACACCTAACTTAATGGGGATGGAGGCATAGTGCCTGTTAGGGGAGAGACAGAGGGAAAAAAAAAAAAAAGAAGAAAGGGAGAGTGACAGAAATAAAATGGAAATGGAAGAAAGAGAAGGAGAAGCGAGCACCCAGAGGTCGTGGGGCCCCACAACAGCGAGGCACAGCTGCTGAGCCCCATGGAGCCCCATCGTGAGCAGCGCGTGTGCTGATGATCCTGAGAGCCCATCCAAGGTGACGACACTGCAACTCCACAAAACCAGCAACCAACACGGGAAACCTGCTATGGGTACCTCTGGTCAAGGGCAGACTTGCAAGGGACAAACTCAATTCTCCCTTGTTTCTCATTGTGAGGGAAAAACACACACACGCGTGCAGATGTATACCGCAGAATGCATAACAGAGCTAAGCGTGACCACCAGCATCAAGACTAGCAGTGTCATCAAAAATCAGAATGAAGAGATCATTCCATAAACCTGCGGCACTCTTGCCTTTGTAAAGCAGCTTTTGTCTACAGCAGTGGTTCTCAACCAGGGGGAGGGGCGTTCTCTCGCCCCCCAGGGGACACTGGGCAACGTCAGAAGACAGCTTCGGTTATCACAGGCATGAGGGTGCTACTGTCATCCAGGGCACAGAGCCCGGAGATGCTGCCCAACATCCGACCCTGCACGGGCAGGACCCGTGCACAAGGGGCTATCCAGCCCAAGACGCCGACAGCACCGGGCTTGAGAAGCTCTGGTCCACAGCTTCTCTCCTGCTGCAGACCTACCACCTGATCCATGGGGTCACTGGAGTAGTAGTTTTCTGAGTGGGTGCACCGAATCCACACGGGCTTAGGGAGCTCCTCCTCCTCCTCCTCGTGTTTCTCAGGCAGCGCCTCCTCTGGCTCCTTTTCCTTGATTGAGGTATAGTTTTTCTCTTTGCCAGAGCCCTGGATGTCACTCCATCTGTCTTTTTCGTCCTCCCAGCGAGCTCTCTTCTTCTCCCTGCTTGGGGAGCGACTTCAAAAGGGGGCGAAGGGAGGCTATTAAAAATGTTCTTTCCTTGTAAAACTTTTCTATTTTACCTGTTTAGTTCATTTGTCACCTGAAAGAAAAATGTCACGCCAAACCACCATATTCATTTGTATGGAAAACCAGTGACCCCCTGACACCAGTCTGCTGACATCAGAATCACCTGAAGTTACTTGTTTAAAAGTACAAATTCCCAGGCCCTACCCCAGATCTACTTACTGATTCACAGTCTCCGGGGGTGGGGCCCAAGATTCTGTATTTTTAATAATCTCCCCAGGTGATTCTGGTGTGCATCCGGCAGGTTCAGGAGCAACCGGCAAACCATAACTCCTAGAACAGAAAGATCTCTGGGAAACATGTGGACATCTCCATCTATAGACAATCTCAGCATTGAGCACACTAATTTTGAATTCTCCACATCTTGCTTTGCCAAGAGAAAAAAAAAAGTCTTCATAAAACATGGTCTCCACTTAGCCATAAATTTAGCCTGAGGACCAAAATCCAAGAGTGAACCAGTTATACCATCCCTCACCATTTCTCTGGAAGCCCGTACTTGGGTATTACTGCTTAATGAACCACCAATTCACCTAATTCTGACCCCCACAAATACTAATAGTAACTCAATTAAAAAGGAAAAAAGCAATTCTATCTCCTTGAATCACTGGAGCATGAAATTTGCAAAGGCTCAGCGTAAGGATGTGCTTGGAGGGAAAAACCCATAGGGTAGATTTTTAAATTAAGCCCAGGACGTTTCAGTGGAACCATACAGACTTGGAGAATCCAGCCAGGGAAAGAGACTGCTGCTTTATTAGTGATGTGCTGCCACCTCGGCAGCTCTACTGACAAAGTCACTCTTATCCAAGAAAGTTTACATCTGGGTCAAAGCCACAAGTTAAGTTTTTCCATCAACTCTATCACTCATTTCTAATTTTATAGCAGGGAAAATATAACTGTAGGTGTATATACATCAGGGGGAAAATAGTGGGTGATTAGAAGGACTATATATATTACTTATTGATGCAACTTCTAAATATTACAGTATACATCAAGAGGTTTGTTACCAGAAAAAAATATTTACTGTGAAGTAAAATGTATATATGTTCACTGTAGAAATATAAAACAAAAATCACCTGTAACACCACTCAGAGATAACAATTATATTTCACAAATATGTTAAAAGATATGGATATATAAACATACAAGTTTCTAAAAACAGGAACTCTGTAGCCTGTTCTCCTCAACAAGTGGTAAATCAGGAACATCATTCTACTTCAATACATCTACATCTGAACCATTTTTAATAATGCATATCATTCTTTTATATGTATATATCGTAATCTGACAAATCTGATCATTGTCAATTAGGATGTTACCTTTCTTCCCCCATTGTAAACAATGCTACTGTAAATACACTTGTGTTCTTTGCATACTTGTCATATTATTTCACACACAAAGAGTGTGTACTTTTTTAAAGGCTTCTCTACAGATAAGAATTACCAGTTTAAATGACCACCAAAACTGTATATGATTTCCCATTTCCACACAACCTGTCAACAAGATTGTTTTTAATCTTTTCTATCCTTACAAAGAGAGCATCTCATTTAATTTGTCACTACTGAAATAACAGGTTTCACATTCACTTCTTTTACTAATATGAACATGAATCAATACACCATGCTGATATTTTTTACATTAGGATTATAGTCTTTTTTATTGACAGTTTTTAATTTTAATTATCACCCATCTTCTGTCATATGTAACGTAACCTTTTTCAGTCTATTTTCCTTTTAATTCTGTTTATAGCTACATCGGAGAAGGCAATGGCAACCCACTCCAGTACACTTGCCTGGAAAATCCCATGGACAGAGGAGCCTGGTAGGCTGCAGTCCATGGGGTTGCAAAGAGCTGGACACGAATGAAGCGACTTAGCAGCAGCAGCAGCATAACTACATACAATCTTTATGTGGCCAAATGCAAAGATTGTTTTTGTTTCTATTTCCGGTCTTAGTGTTATGGCTGTAATCCTTTCCCATAGCAAGGTTAAATAAATATTTTATATTTTTCAGTTACTTTTAACATTAATTTTTCTTTTTTACTCCATCTGTCCAAGATCTAAGGCAGAAATCTGAACTCAATTTCTTTTCCATACAGTTTGCATTGTTTCCATATCAGTTTCTCCTCTGATTTGAAAAAAACAGCTTTATGATAGATGTAAACCTTTATATATATAGGTTGAATGTTGTTCCAGATTGGTCTCACTGACCTATTTATACCCATATCAAACTGTGCATTATTTTTCTTCATTATACTCACTTCTATTCCCAAGAAAAATTTGAGTCCTAGTAAAGTTCTAAAAACAGTTACCTCAACTGAACTTACATTAAAATTATAGATTTTTTGGAAGGCAAATATACTCACCACTATACCACCAACACCGCTAAAACCTACAAATATTTTGGAAGAACACTGGTATGTTTTTTAACCCTATCTTCCACTCCCACTACAGGAATTTAACATGCCCTCCATTCATTTACATCACCTTCCTTGTCATCCACCACACTTAATATCTTCCTATTGATCTATATATTTTTTAGTTTATTAAGAAATTTAACTTTTACTCATTTAAATTTTCTATTATATTTTCTATTCGTAAGTAGGTATTCTTGGAATTCAGGGAAGGCTCTTAATTATGATATGTTTATTGTATAACTGTCAACTTCAGTGAGTTAATTCTAACATTCCTTGACTGATTCTCTTGAACTGTCCTGGTAATATCATTAGCTAATAATGGCAAATCCTGGCTCCCTGTGGTGTGGTTTTATTTGTTTTTGTTTGTGGTTCTTCCTGAGAGCCTGACATTCTTGTAAGCACTCTGATACACTTAGTCCTGACGAGAATCCCGAGGCAGATATAAACATCCCCTAGACAGGAAACAGAATTAGAAATTATATCACTTGCCCACTCTCACACAGCTAGTAAGTAACAGTTAAATGCTAATATGATTATTTGACACAGACATTTTGACATGTACTAAAAATCCCACCAAATGTTTTATTATTATTACCATCGAGAAACACAGGCAGAAGACATCCTTACGCCATCCACTTTAGGCAGGTGTCTTAAATAATGGATGATCAGGGTTGTCTATTGTGAACAACAATTAGTATTCTTTTTTTCTTTTTTCCTTTTTTTAACACTTTGAGAGCGATATTTCAAAATAGGAGTAAAACATCACTTTAGGTAGGTGTCTCAGGCATTTCAAATTTCAAAATCCAAACTCAAAATTGTTGTTTGATAACATGCTATATTACCAACTAGGATAACTTTTCCTCCTTCACAGTATTTACATCTATAACTTTTATTTTCTCATCTACTGCATTAGTTAGAATTCGAAGAATCCAAGTCTCTGCCTTCTCCACAAGTTTACTGGGTATTGGAGAAGAAACAACTAAACCAAGAGATTTTTCAGCACTCCACATTAAAAACCAACCTCAGATGGGCCCTCAATGAGTTCCACAAACACAGTATCTTAGCTTTTTCCCTATCTTTCTCTGCTCCTCTTCGTCAGGCCCTTTCTCACTGAGCAGACTTTCCCTAGTTGACCTCATCTAATTCATGGCTTTTAGCATTTCCGGCTAAGATCTCTTTTCTGAGCCTTATACTTCTGTGTCCCACTAGGTACCACAAAATTCCACCCAGCTGTCTCACTGACTTTCAAATTCCACTTGCCCAAAACTGAACTCATTCTTCTGCCTGTTTCTTAGTGTTTCTAGCCCTCCAAGGGAAACATCAGGTCTCAGGTGATGGGACTTGGGTCCTACTGACTCCCACCTCGATCTCTCTCAATTACCTCCAACTTCCCCATTGTCATTGCCACAATGGGTTGGTCTAGCCACAATCATTTCTTTCCTGGGTTACTAACAAAAGCCTAAATTCATTTCCCAACCTCCAGGTTTGATCCTCTGAGGTCACTTCTCCAATGCAGCCTTCACACCTGCTCTTTCTCTCACCCTACCATTCGCCTTCCCTTAGGCATTCCTACCCATACTCCAGGGAATCAGTACATTGTCAATTTCTCTATGACCACCCGAAACTGAGTTACTAACTACTGTGTTCCAGAAGCAATATGTATTTGCTCTATCAAAAGCACTTCTCACAGCACTTAACTTTCTTATTCCTGGAAAGCAGGGACTCTTGTTAAAGACTATCACCATACCGTATAATACCTGGGACACACAAGAATATGTTGTTTGTCATTTGCTTGTTAAGACATACATGAGGTGACAGTGGTGGGAAATGGGGTCTCCTTGTCTTTTTTTCTAACGTGTATGGGAAGGCCTATAAGGTTTCAATAATAAATTTGGCTCTTCTCAGATGGTATCAATCATGTTCATCACAAGATAATGTTCTCTATCAAGTTACAGAAGTCTGCTTATACTTCTACTTTACCAGTTTCTACTCATAATTGAATGCAACTTTAAACTGCTAATAGGCAAGTACTGAGATAACTCTAGAGATTCTGACACAAAGAATTACAGTTATATATCTCCTAATACTAATCTATCTACCCATGCAACCTAGGAATAAACCCTCAACTATTGTAACACACAACTGAAAACAACCTGCTAATATGCTAATCAGTATTTTCATATCCATATTCACTAAAGAAATTGTTTTGTGGTTTTCTTTTCATTGATAGTTTTGCCATTTGGATTTTCCTGATATCATAGCATGAGCTGAGCTTTCCTTCCATCTTCTTCAGTGTTCTAAAAACAGTTTCAAACTTTTTTGGAAGTGACACAAAGTCAACTTTATCCCATAGTTATTGGCCTATTAAAATTTTCTGCTCTAAGTGTAAGGTTTATAATTTTTGTTTTCATAGAAACAACCCGTCACATCCAAGTTTTTAAATTTCTCAAATAAAACATCAGTACTTATACCAACGCACTATCATTTTTAAAACCCCTTCATTGCTATAATAATACATTCTTTCTTATACCTAATGGATATGTGCTTTTCTTTTCTTGATTTGCCACTTTTTAAATTGTACAGCCTTTCAAAGAAATCTTGCACTATTTACAAATATTATTATGGTGCTATAGTTCTATTTTTGAGTTTATTAATTTATTTTACCTTTAATACTTTTCTCTGCTCTTTTAGAGTCAAGTGATTAGATTATAAATATGTATATAGTTATCATTTATTTGGCACTACTGGGCCAAGTGCTAAGTGTTTTATGTGTGTTATCTCAATGACCCCTGGTCACTCAATAAGGCAAATATAACTGTCTTTATTTTAGACAAAGACACTGAGGCTTAAAAAAAAAGTTCCTTTGCCCAATAACAAAGTTGGGAAAATGAATAATTGACCCAAAATCTGTCAGATCTATTCGTAATTAGAGTGCTATTCATAATTACCACTTATTAAGACATGAATTTTTAGCTCTTGATATAGAATTCGTTACATCTTGTAAATTTTTATTTGCAACAATTTCAATGTCATATTTCGAAATAAGGTGTTATTGTAGTTTTTCTTTTTTTTCCTGAAACAAGTAAACTTAAGAGCATAATTATGAATTTTCAAGGTCTTAAAAAAAAAAAACCTTGAATTACTAATATAGAGTTTTACAGCAACTGAGGTCACAAAGTGGTCTAATTTGGGGGACTTATCAAGATTTTCCTTGTGCATCCCATATACATTGCAAAATAAAAGGTTTTTCAGTAACTGGCAACTTCAGCTTTTCACAGTGTTCTTTGGACAAATGTTCAGGCTATTCTGAAGACCTGGCTGACACCTTACACAAGCTCAAAATCTGAATTTCAGGAGATAATCCTATGACTTCCAGTGTCAACTCCTTGCTTACCTTCCAGATCTCTTATACTCTTTTTTGTAGGACCTTTCCAGAGATGGTGATCTTCGGCTGTCCCGGTGCCTGTGTCTCTCCCGTTCCCGCTCTCTTAAAGGAATTAACACACAGAGCTGTTTTCAACAGAAAGACTCAAAAACACCATCTCTTTTCACTGAATTCATCTAAATAAATGGACCTCACCTCACCTAAGTATTCTGCAGCACTATTCACTATGGGACATTTTTATTCACCCTTCATGTATTAGAGGTTAAAGGAGCATTTCACTTTACGCAAGTTAACTACCTTAGACATTTCTTGCTGTTTTCTTGTAAAAAAAAAAAAAAGAAGTCATACTTAATACTAAGCAATGAAGGGAATTTTATCATGATCTTCCCTTGAGACCTTCCAACCAGACAATCATTCTACAGGGAAAACTTCAAAGGATTCAACTGCCTATTGATTTCTGGAACACTCTTAATTTTGTCCAACAAATAAACGCATATAATAAAGATTTGGACAAGGGTCTATAATAAAGAGCTCTAAACTCTTATAGGTTATACACCTGAGGTATAGTTCTTAGTCATCACTAACTACCATGAGACGCTAGGTCACTTCACCTTTAAGTGCTGTTTTCATCAGGGAAGAAAAAAAAGTCTAAATAGAGACACTGAGTTTACTCAGTGTAAAACTAGAATGCAGGATTTTAAACCTTCCAATATAAAGCTGGAATTTAGTAATAATGGTAGTAATAACTTATGCACCTAATCAATAAGTACAATGAGATCTGACAAAAAAATTGGAATCCCAGTGGGTTTACATCAGAACTAAATCTAAAGGAAATAAATACTAGGTCTTAGAGTGGGGCCAAAAAATGCTTTATTAGCCTGAGTCCAGCAAAGAAGACTAGAAAAATGTCTAAACTCAAAAATAGCCACCACCCCTACAACCCCGCCACCACTGTGCCCCACCACTGCGGGGGCACAAATTCAATCCCTGGTA